TTACACGCTCGGAGCCTCAGTTGCTGGTCTCCCAGATGGGGATGCTACTGCTCACCTTCCCAAGTGCTTGGGGAGAGGGGACATGTAAGCAGTCTTAAACCACATGAGCTTTGCTAAGTACACAGAGCCCAGCAGGACCCCCGGCGTGAAAACCAGAGTCAATCCTGACAGGCTTCACTCACGTCTGCCAGACGCAGCCCAGACCGCTGCGTCTCCACACGGGCCCACGTGTAGAGGACCCAAGCCTTTCCAGAGCCGCCAGCAAACTGGGGGCAGGGAAGCCCAGGGGCAAACCTGCTCCCTCGAAGCAAGGAGGGGGCAGAGACCATGGCACACGGCGGGGGGGGGGGCACAGGACAGGGGCCTCCCCCACCCCCACACTGTGCGTTCACTCCCCCAGTGGCCATCAGCACTGGCCTCACCCATTCTCCCCCCAGACTGGCTCAGAAGCCATGAGAATGGCAGAGCTAGATGTCCCATACTGGAATCTATTCCCACACAGGACACCTGCCTCGTACTACACACCTGGCCACTGCAGTGCGCCTAAGGGGCGGCCTCGCTTTCTAGGGGACCTGGGCCTCGGGAGGGCCGGCCACCCGGCCGGGCAGAGCCTGGGGAACCACACGACCGCCCTCCCGGGCCCGCTCTGGCACCGTCCCCGCCACGGTTGCTCGGGAGGAAGCAAATGCTGACGAAACTGCCCCCTTCTAAGCCTGGGTTTCTATCAAGCGCGCCTGGGGCTCCCGACAGCCCAAGTGGTGGCAGAAGGGACAGGTCAACGAAAGACGGAGTGGTCCAGGGGCTGGACTCTGGGAGGGCAAAGCAGAGGCCACTGGTGATTTCTGCACAGATGGGACAGGGTCCCTACCAGACCAGACCCAGCAGATCCTCGTGTCCCACCAGCTTGGGCTGGGCCCCAGCTCCGCCAGCCAGTGGGCAAGGGCCCTGACTCAGGTCGGGAGGGGGGACAGCAGAGACCGTCAGCGCGTGTGCCCGTCCGTCTGCTGCGCCCCGTCTTTGCTGCACATGCCTCTGTGAATCTCCCACGCCACCATTTTGTCCGTAAACCACCTCTGCAAAATCACCTTCCTATAAGAGGAATTCTGTAACCAGTTGGCACCTCCCTCCCTGTGGGGCTGCCGAGAGGCTCAACGTCAACACGGCTCCGAAGCCAGGACATCTGTGGTCTGTTTCTTGTGGTATCAGGTTGTCAGCAGCTGGGAATGCTCTGTACAGTACTGGGATCTTATCTAAAGGGAATAGATGTGACTACAGAAAACAGTCAAGGCGATACTCATACTCCGAAGAAACCCAAACTCTCCAAGCAACCTTGACTCGTCCAGAACCTTCCGTGGAGAGTCCCGAGTGTCCTGGGACGCTGGCATTTCGCTTGACTATTCCAGAACCTGTCGTGGAGAGCCCTGAGTGCCCCAGGAGGCTGACACTCCCCTCAGTGCTCCAGAACCTTCCATGGAGAGCCCCAGAAGGCCTGGGAGGCTGACGTTCCTTGTCCTCTGTGCCACAGAAGGAAACAAGTGCACACGGTCCTGCCGGGTCCCCCAGCCCCTCCCAACGGCCTGCTCCCTCTCCTGCACATCACCATCTCAGCGCTCTACTCATGTACACGCTTAGCCCACTGTTTGTCTCTCCCCCCATAACACAAGCCCAGGGAAGTGGGGCCCTGGCTGCTTCAGCCTGTACCGTCCCCCAGGTTAGAGCAGCACCCACACAGTGTGGCCCAGCAAGGTGGGCTGGCTCGCGGAGGGCCGGACACCCCATACCCAGCACCGGGCTGGCCAAGTGACTGCTGCTCAGCCCACGGGGCCCCTCCCTCCCTCTGGCCAAGGCTGTGGTATAGGGAGGGCGTGGGGCCTGGCAAGACGTTCAGAAGGAATTTTGGGCCCCGAGCCCTGGAATAGGCACTTGCGTAGGAAACATCAGCCCCGACCCCAGCAGAGCCCCTGGGTCACAGGGAGGCCAGCCAGGAGACGGGGCTGACCAGGTGGAAGGCAAAGTGGAGACAGAGCAGGGAAACCAGTGTGGGGCAGGATTAGCAAAGCCCCTTTGCCCTGGGCGTTCATTCTGATGACTGCAACCCCAAACACCCTCACTCATCAAACGGGATTCTTGACAGCATAACGCACTGGGCTGCCATCTTCCTCCCGGGCAGCCACATCTTCTGTCCCCACACACATTCCCCGAGGAAGCTGGCGGGGCCAGAGATGCCTGGACACAGCAGGGGACAGGGAGGGCCACGCGCTCTGCAGACAGGACCCCCCTTCCCTAAGCACCGGTGCAGGCTGCCCACTGAACAGACGAGAGCCACAGCCGCCAAGGGAGAAAGGGCCTCCACCACACGAGACACCCCCAAAGGCCCTCTCCGCAGCACCTCTGCCTCGCGTGGCACAGAGCGGGGGCAGGGGGACAGACGCGCACACGTCAAGCCCCTCTGCCACCCAGCTCCTGTCCCTGGAGCACCTGACTTCTGCCGGGGGGGGGGGGCGTCTGGCCCCAGCGCCCATGGCACGTGTACCCCAGGTGCGACTGCTCCCCCTGCCTCTGCAGGGACGGTGCTGCAGGTCAGGGACGGGGGCGTCTACCGACCTCCACCAGGGCAGACGGGCTGCGGGTGCCCCTCCCAGCGGGCCTGGCTCCCCAACACAGGGGACAGCCCGCCACGCAGGCCGACACTCGCACGTCTACACGAGGGACGGGGCCCAACCCTACAAGGCCTGAGCAGAGCTGGCACCCCCGCGGCAGCCAACCTCAGACCCCTGTCTGGTGGGGCTGTGACCTCCGCCGGTGTCAACAGAAGCAGGTTGGGATGTAAATCCAGGGTGGGGGCCTCACGGGGAGGAAGGTGACAGGCTGTTCGAGGGGCCTGTGCAGGAACCCTGGTGTGCAGGGTGGGGCCGGGGGTCCCGCTGGTCCTGGGACACTCACAAAGGACAGGAAGCCCGGGACAAGTGCTCCCTAAGCTGGCCCTCCTTCTGCCCGTCTGCTTCTCTGGTCACGGACTCCCCTCGACTTGATGGGACCCCAGGGAACCGCTGTGATGGCCGAAGAGTCCTGCACCGGCGTCAGGACAACGGGTCTCTCCCGGCTCTGCCCCAGGGGCTTGGGGCCTCAGTCCCTGGGAGGGACACACGGGTGCCGCCGGGCACGAGGCTATAGCTGGCTGAGTGGGGCTCAGGACCCACAGGCAGTCCTGGGAGGCGGGTGCTGCCCTCCGCCCACCAGCCTCAGCCCACGGCTGCCACACTGCGGGCCCACTCAGGAAATTCAACTTGCCCAAAGATGACACACACAACTTCTCATCACGCCCGGTGTCCAGGCTCCTAGAGGGCTGGGTAACACAAAGTGCACGGCGAGGAGCGCATGGCGGGCAGGAGGTTTCCGCACGCGGTCTGAGAGCGGCGAGGCTGCCGGGGCCGCAGATGGCGCGGGTGCCACCGCCCCCCCCCGCCACGTGGTCCCAGTGCAGCCAGTGGCAGAGCAGGCCGGCCCGGCGCCCTGAGGGCCACAGGGTGGACCGACCCCGTGTGCACGCAGGGGAGAGGCCATCCGGGCCGGCAGCCTCGGGGGTCTGCGGCCCCGCGGAGATGCCTGCTGGCACCGGCTCATGGGATGTGAAGGGGCTTATTATTCAAGACACGTCGTTCTCCTCATAAAAAAATCAAAAGAAATCAGTGCCTGTCGAAATGTCTCCACATAAGTGCACATCAGCAAGCTGGCTTTTCTTAGTCCTCGGCGTTAATAAACATGAGCAGCCGGGCGCCACGGTGGGGAAGGGAGGCTCTCTCCTCAAGCGTCTTGTTTTACACGCCCGTCCGGGAGCACGGGTCCGCAGCACATACCTGCCCGCTCACTCCGTGTGTGAAGGGGCACACGTGGCCGCCCCGAGGAGGGTCACAAACCTCCGTAGCGGAGCTCAGAGTCCGCGTGTGCGCTTGCCCGGCCAGGACAGTGAAGGAAAGACCCCTGACCCAGAGGTAACATAGGAGAGGAACACCTGTCTGTAAGCGTTCAGGTGGGGCACAACAGGGATCCCGTAAATGCAGACACAGCAGTGTTCCTGCACAGAAGAGTAATCATCCCACGATGTCTGGACCCCGGAGGTTCACCCTCATCTCCCACGAAACCTAACAATTTCTACATTGGTTGGGAGAGCTAGATATGTTCATTCCAGGGGGCACATAAAAGTAAACAAGAGGTGCCAGGAAAATCCTGCAGGAGAAGTCACGGGGCTGGGAAGGACAGGATGCACCAGCCGGGGGAGCCACCCGGGCCCGAGGGGGCAGCGTCGCACCCCAGCGAGGACAGGCTTTGCAGTAAGTGGTCCTGGGGCTACCGGAAGGAGCCCTACTAGGGAACAGGCTGATGTCAGGCTTTGTACCTTGTACAACACCAGACCAAACCCAAATGCCGCATCAACTGCAGATTTACATGTGAAAAACAAAACCGCCATGGAAGAACCCTTCACAACCTGAGCCAAAGACGAAATGTCGATAAATGCACGTATATAAAAACCTGAATACCAAAAACTTCTACTCGGTTAAAAATGCCTCAAGCAAAGTCAAAAGACAGATGATCAACCGGAAAATACAGTCACAACTTAAAACAAAAACACCTCAACTCCTCAAATACAAAAAGCTCCACAAAATCAACAGGACCAACAACCCATTTGAAAAACAGACCAAGGACATTAGCACATATGAATGTACTTAAAGGCCCTCACTCCCGCGTGTGATCAAAGAACTGAAGGTTAAAAGTATACTGGCCTACCCGCCCCCCACCCCCGCGGGGGCAGAAGATCTCCCGGGTGTCACAGTGCACTCTTGGTGAGGCTGCAGTTGACGCCGTCCCATGGCAGAATCTACCAAAATAAGTGCAGGTACCCTCTGATCCCACGATCTCCCTCCCAGAAATTTATCCTACACACACGCACGCATGGAGATGCCATACACCAAGCCCTTTGCTCCGGTCACCCTCTCTGGGGCTCACCCTCCACCCACGCATCCCCAGCACATGGCCTGTGGGGTTCGGCCCCTCCAGGAAGGAACTCAGAGAGCATTGCAGGAGTGTGGGCAGAGGGCCAGCCAGGCCACAGGGGAACAGAGCAGGAGGGTTCTAAGAAGCAGAGATCAGGCCTGCCTTCGGCTCAGGGCTCCCTGGCAGGTGGGGGCAGGTGGGGGCGGGGAGGTCTGTCCCGGGGGGGGGGGTGGGGGTGGGCGGGGCAGGCCAGGCAGGAGGAACCTGCAGGTGGAGGGAACCAGTGGGCACCCGGGGGGCCATCCTGTCACAGCATCAGAGGGGAGAGGGCAGCACAGTGTGAGGAGTGCAGCACGCCCCCCCAACCTCGTATTCAAGAAGAGGGAAGGAGGTGGAGGCTGGGAGGCTCTGATGAGACAGGGCTGCTCGCCTGCTGACGCAGGGACGGGAGCGGGGACGTCTCCACGGGCACCGTGAGCTTTCCGCTCACAGGCAACCCAGCAATTTTCTACCCACTCCATTTCCAAAAATTTACTTATTTCAAATGTCACTGGGCTGCAGTCTGGTCCCTTTCCTCAGCAGCGCTGCCGGCTGGCTACAGGCAGCCCCACCCAGCCCCAGGGGAGCTGGCGCGCGCTGGGGGGGACGCGGGACCTGCGCCCACCCCTGATGGTCACCTGGCTGAATAAGCAGCGTGATCAGGCAGCACGGAGGGGCAGTGGGACGTGGGCTCCACTCCCAGAGATGAATTCTGCTTGATTACATGCTGAAGCGTTTACAGGGAAGGGTGCAGATGTTTGCAATTTGCTTTAAAATGCATCAGAAAAATGTAAAAGCATTGATGGATGGCAGAGGGGTGGTATCAGGAGGCCCCCACAGTAAGATGCTCATGCCCGGATGTGGGTGGTAGGTAAGCGGGTCTCCATGGAGGAATTCGTCCGGCTGTGCTGTACGTTTGAGAATGCTCATCAAGCACTCGGGCAAACCCAGGGGGCCGAGGGCCCGGGCGCAAGTGTGCGGCCAGGCTGTGCTGTGCACACTCGGGTGTCCAGCCAGGGCTGCTGACCGACATGCGTCTGCCGCCCCTCTCCTCTGCACCTCCGGAGCTTCATGTGGCCCGTGGCTGTCACCGTCCCCACATCTGGCCTATCAGAAACACGAATGGGGAAAGCATGTGTGTCGCCAAGGTAAGGCATGGGATGGCGGTGTTACTACTAACTCTGGCCGACCTGGGAGCTGTCACCGCCGTCACCAAAGTGGCCTGAGACCAGGGCCACAGGCCACGGTGAGGGCCACAGCCACCACCCACACCAGAGCCCACTCACCGAGGAGGCCAACGAGACAGGAGTTCTACTGCCATTCCGCAATCATTCTCTTGGCTCTGGGAAACCGAGGCCCGCGGACAGGTGTGCAGGGCAGGGCCATGGTGGGAGGGAGCAGGGGGCCCAGGGCCGGGGTTGCCTTCCCGTTCCACGGCGGCCAGGCCCCAGCTCCGGCAGCCACACGGGAAGCACAGGGCGCCCCCTGCCTCCAGGCCCAGCCATCCAGGTGGGTCTGCTCACTCCCAGCCCCGGGACATCTGGACCTGGCCCAGCCCATCCTGCCCCTACAGAAGGGGTCTGTGAGCGAGCCACTCATGCACTGGCTAACTGTGGGCCTCGGTTTCCCCATCTCTAAAGGGGGGCGCACACGAGACAGCAGTCCCCTGCGGCTGGCGGGAGTCCCCTCCGTGGGCTGGGGCACCGGGATGAGCGTGGGAACAGCCCGGCCCCCACAGGCCTGCGCCCCACGCCGTCCGGAGAGTGCAGAGCAGGCTCCGATTGGTGACGGGAGCTGTTGCCTCACCAACCAGCTGTGAACTGATTACAAGAAGTTCTAACTAGTGGCGCTCCCTCTCCAAGCATATGTTCCCAATTAAGTCAAACGGCAGCTGATTTTAATCAATCTTCCTCGAAGCAGCCCAACTGGAAGCCTGTCCGCAGAGGGGAGAGGGGAGAGGGAGGAGGGCGTGTGCACAGGAGCGCCCAGCCGGCCGCGGCTGGACTGCACGGGGCTCGCTGGGCAGCAGGGGCGAAGACACCCGTGGCAGGCCTGCTGCTTCCCAGGCCCCGGCGCAGAGGTGAAGGGGTGAGGTCTCTGCCCTCCACATGCGTTTCCTCTCCCCAGGCACCCCCACGTGCACATGGTTATCCCGAAGTTATAAAGGACGAACTGGGGCTCACATGGGAAAGCCAACATGCCTAAAGCCACCCGGGCAAGAGACGGGACAGGGGTCCAGTGGAGGACCCCACGATGCCCTCCTGTTTCTGAGCGTCCGAGTCGCCTTCACACCCATTTCGTGGCTGCCTGGACCCCAGCCAGACACAAGTTCGTCCTGTCCGCTCTGCGTGACCAGCACGGCCGCTCACCTTGCCCTGACTCGCCGCCTTCACTCCTGTCTGTCCTGGGGGGTCAGGGTTCCAGGGCAGAGCCCCCGTGTCTCTGCACCCTCAGCAGGGCCTGGGCTCACTGGCGCTTGTCGTGAGCCGGAAGAAGGGACGGCGTCTGGGTTGGACAGAACCGCTCCTGCCACAGCAAGCGTCCAAGCCCCCTGAACAGTCAGCTCAGCCCTGGGCGGGCAACCTGTGCCTGCCCACCGCACCACACGACAGACGCAGGTTGGCGCGGCCGGTGGGGGGAGCGGGCCAGGAGACGGGGAACTGGGTGCCCAGCCCAGCTCTGCCTCTCCTGCTGGGTGCCCTCGACCGAATGACTGCCCCTCCCTGACCGGACGTTTCCTCATCAGGGAAACGGGGAAGCAGGACCTCCTCCTGAGGACCGTGGACACAGAGAGAGGTCTGCAGAGCACAGTGATGGCGCGTGGCCAACCTTCCTGAGATGAGCCCCACTCTAGGTGCAGGGACGGCCCTCGTGGACTCGAGCTGCAAGCAGGAGCATGGACAGACTGTCACGGCCCTGCTCTTACTGCCTCTCAAGGTCTGATGGCACTGCCGCAGGACCAGCAAACGTCCCCGGGCCTGGGACACCCACCAGAACAGAGGAGGCAGCAGTGCATGGCTATCTAGAAGCCTCCACCACCCACTCCTCTGCACTTCAGCCCTGCCACCCCCGCCCCAGGGCTGTGGCCGAGCTCAGGGGGTACCGCCACATCCCCGCACACGCACCTGAGTCCCCAGCATGATGGAAACCTGGCCCCACAAGCCTGTCCCCAGCTCCCCCAGCTCCCACAGGCACGGACACAGATGCCACCTGCCCCCGTGAGCAGGTGCCCAGCCCCCTGACCGTGAGCAGCTCCAGGACTTGCTATAAGACCTCTGCCCCACCCGAGGGTTGGCGTGGAGCTCAAAGTATCTCCACCCAGGAACACCTGACACGGGAAGAGTACCGGACACCCCATCTCCCAGGATGGCGAACGTCCATCAGCCACAGTGCTCACCTGCACTGCACCCCAGAAACCCTGCCAAGGGCCACAGCAGGCTTCCTGGGAAAGGCCTGGAAGCCCAGAGGCAGGGAAAAAGGAAAGATTTCAGCAGGACTCACTGTACCCCAATCACGGAGGGGGGGGGCGGCCTGGGCAGCCATCAGCCCTGCTCATAGGCTGTGCCCAACTGGACACGCAGGAGACACCCGCCAACCCTGCTCTGACAGGGCCCGGCTGATGGGCCGCTGGGGTCGGCCTGCCAACAGCCCAGCTCTCCCTCCTGAGGACCGCGGTCCAATTAAACAGTGCGGCTCCTAGAGATGAACACTGCCAGCCACGGCTCACAGCACCTTGCTTCATCAGAGTTGTCACTTCTCCCGACTCCAGGAATCGGTAATAAAAAAGAGATGTGATTTGCCTCTAATAGGTGTCAAGATAAAATCAATGGCCTGTCCAAAATCTGGGTAATCACAAACCTGCAGGTTCCTTGCTGTGGAACAATTTAGACAGGAGGATAACAATGAAAAACAAAGTTGGAGTGAACACTGTGAACAGCAGCAGTGTAACCTTGCGGCTGCAGGCAGGTGGGGACGGGCCTGGATACGAGCCCAAACAGAGATGGTCCCATGGGCCGTGGCCAGTGTAGGGGGAGGGGAGGGACACCGATGGAGCACAGGACCGGGGCCACGGGCGGGTGACATGCGGCCTGAAGGCAGGACACACCCTCTCTGCTGGGCTCTGGGACACATGCTCTCAGCCAGCCAGGGGTGCGTGCGTCTGGGGAGGGCCCCAACTAGGTTGTGTCTGGTTGACCCAGAAGACGGGACGTCTGTGGGTGCGGGAGGCACGGACACGGACACGGAGGAAGAAGCCAGGAGGGCAGGGCGTGCTTGCCGGGAGAACGCGGAGTTCTGGGAGAAGCCTCCACCCGTGGCCGCCCGCCAGTATGTACCTGCAGGGTGAACCGCTCAAGCTGCATTTCCAGCATCTTCTTGTCTTCTTCCAGACGACTGCGCTCCCCTTCCAGCTCCTCAATCTTCAACCTGCAAGAAGAGCCAGACCATCAGGACATACACCACAGCTCGCACATCCATTCCGGCAGACAGGGTTCTGCTGCACTGGGGGGGGGGGGGGGGGGGGGGGGGGGGGGGGGGGGGGTGGTGTGGTGTGGTG